AACATGAATAATCTATGTACCAAGTTTGAATGACAACTGACAAAGCATGTCCAAAATATAACATTTTCAAAAAACAAGATGGCTGCCAGTTGGCCATTTTGAATCGAATCGCTAAACCACTGCATGTGCATATGTCCCACATAAGGTACTAGGCACATGCAAAGAATGAACGGAATCGGTCCACAGGATTCAGAAATATGACTCTGAACAGACTGATGCATGCACGAATGGACGGACGGATGGACGGACAGACTCAGGAACTCACGGACGGTCGGGGACATGTAATCTAACATGTATGATCTATGTACTAAATTTGAATGAAAACTGACAAAGCATGTCCAAAATACAACGTTTTCAAAAGACAAGATGGCTGCCAGTCGGCCATTTTGAATCAAATTGCTAAACCACTGCATGTGCATTTGTCCCACATAAAGCACATGCAAAGAATGAACGAAATCGATCCAAGGGATTCTGAGATATGACTCCGGACGGACGCACGGACAGAGACCGAATTATAAGTCCCCGTTTTCTGACTTCGTTCGAACGGGGACTAATAAAACCTTGAAGCTGTGTACTTGCAAACAAAATATGTAAGCGCATACATACCTGGGTACTAAGTAAATCCCCTTGACTAGATAGAATAGACGAGGCGCTTGTAAGATGTTTACTGTTAATGCTATCTTGTGTACTATCACCTGAATAGACAAGTCATTGAGAGTGAAGTGTTTAGAATATCATTTATCACAAGTTACATCATAAAAACCAGTCAGTGGGTGTTTAAAGAACATTGACATTCCTAACCAACAATAAAGGAGTCCAAAATAGCATATTTAGGCCAGGACAAAAAAATTCTCTGTTTCTCGTTGCATGGACATTTTAAAAAGAGGCGGCGAGGCAATTTTTTTTTCTTTCTTTTTTTGAATACTGAGCTAAAATAGGGTAAATTTGATACAAGAAGGAAAAAAACGTCTGAGGCACATAGTTCAAAATGATGTGCACGGAAACGAGAAACAGAGATATTTTTTTTTCTCAGCCTTAACATTGTGTCACTCATTAGAAAATCAAATCATGAAACAAAACGAGCATCAGTGTCCCACATGTGATGTTCATAAAAAGTTTGAGTAAAATAAGCCCAGGCATGTCAGAGAAGCAAATATTTTTGAGAGATCAAAATAGCCCTTCAAATTTAAACAAATAAAAAAAAAATAATGTATATATATATATATATATATACATTCCAATACTAGATCTTGTTTTTGTACCAACTTTGCACAAAATCGATAGTACAATGTCCAAGAAATGACTGGGGATTGAAGGTCCAAATGAGGGGTAACAAATTATTGCAGAGTGAAGGTATAGATGTATTTTTTGTGCTTCTTATAACCTGAATGTATGTGAATTAGACCTTGAACTATTTGTGATATATTACAGTGTTAACTATGAATAACTTACTATGATAATCTTCTCTAGCCTCTTCATGGAAAGTTTCATCACAACTTCCAAGGTGTAGCGCAAATTGTTGAACTCCATCTTTCAAAATTTTCTCTCTTTGGTCATTCCTCCCTGGTATTTCAAATGGAGAGAGTAACAGCATAGCATCATCCGGTGAACATGGCAACAGGTCATCTTCACTGTCACTTTCATCTTCTATTCTCCTAGCAACACGTTTTTTCTTCTTCCTCAGCACTCCTGGCGAGTCATCAGGTGTATCAGCCTTCGATTCAGCATTATTTGGACTAGCACTAATCCCATCAGGATCTCGGCCTTCGATTAAGATACTTTGGTTTTCATTTTCATTTTTTTTATCAGCACCATCAGAAGTAGAATTTGGGGATTTCATCAGTAATTCCCCTTCATCTACCGGAAATGAAACTGGTGACTTCTGCGCTTCAGTAATCTTTGTTGTACCTCTACTTCGGGTTGTCCTTGATAGTTTCATCTTTGAATCAGACAGACCATCAACCGTGGGACTGTTCAAATGTGACTGACGAGTTGAAGGCCTTTTAAAAGCACTATCTTTTTTATTTATCGTTTTGTTTTTTAATTTTGGTGTTATATCAACAGGAACTGTAGGAGGTGTGGGTGGAATAATCTCCTCCTCGTCACCTCCAGATTCTTCATCTCCATCATAACTAATACATCGTTGTTTAATACTCCTACCCTGAGATTGATAAGCTTTTCTATTCTTGATGATGTGCTCTTTATTTTTAATTGTCAATGGTTTCTGATTTTCTTGAGTTGTGCTTTCACTGTTGTCCACTCCACCATGATCAACTTTAGTATTATCAGTACTATCCAGCCCTGTTGTAGTAACATGGGTGTCTGGCGGCGTGAAAAGTTCCACTGTACTTCCATCACCCAAAGTAGCAGGCGCATTATTTGACTTCTCTAGATCAGGAAGTGATGATTGTTCTTGAATTTCATCGCCAGGGTAATCCCCGGAACCAAGTTTGTCTTTCATCCCAGTTGATATAGGCTGCAATAAAGACACACTATTTTCCCCTGATAAATCCTCAGATTCAAGCGACTTGGCTGATTTATGCGGAGATGGTCTTGATTCCATGACAACTGAGTCATCCACTACCGAGACACTTGATTTACCTGATTGTAATGTTGACTTTGGGGAAACGCTTTTCTTTTTTCTTCTTAGTTTTGATCTTGTTCTATTCATGATGTTGTCATTACCTTTTTCAGAACAGTCTGATGAGAAACCTTTGTTATGATTGCTTTTAATTATTTTAATGACAACTATTGGTTGAGTAAGTTGACTGCTATTCTGTGAAGCTCCAAAACTAGCAGGCACTATAGAGTCCAGAGAGCTGTTACCTTCTTCTATACGGGACTCTGTTACCTTAGGAATATTATCAACATTGTCAAACACTGGAGATTTCAATACTTGATGTTTCTGGGTATTAATGCCTAATGTTTTCACTTCTGTTTTTCCTACACTTAGTTGAATTATCTTAGTTGAATTGTCTCCATGTGCTGAATTCAAGTCTATATCTTCCCCACTTTTACAAGAAAATAATTCTGCAGAATTCAGATCATCTGCGGCATCGTCTCGTTGCTGCTCAAGTCGCTCATGATTCTGTGAAATGCAAGTGTTTGAGTGGATGTTCACATGAGGTGACTTAGGAGTGCTGGATCTGCTAGTTATACTATTCACTCTAGGACTTCTTCCTTGGCTGTATCTGTTTCTTCGTTTTATTGTGAGAACAGTACTATCATCATCTTCAACTGAGTCTGGTACACGCAATAGTTTAGGAGTACTATCCACACTCATTGCAATATTCTTCTTACGTTGATTGTTTAGGGAGCTTCTGTCATCTTCAAGTGTCTCGTCACCATCTTTAACAAAACTCTGATTACTTTTACATATCTTTAGTAAGTTTTTCTCCATTGCTGCCATGGTTACCAGCTTTGTCAGGCTAGCACTTCCACCAGATGCAAGTTTCTTGGCACTGCGTTTTCCTCTAGCTATCAAACTGTCGTCTAAATCTTTCCGACATGGAATAAAATCTATATCTGAATCACCTTCTGACGAACATTTCAACTTGTCGATGCCTTCGCCAGCTGACTCTATTTCGTCAGTATCATCGTCCAAAGAACTGTTCATCATTTCTTCATTTATTTCGTGATCCTGCACCTCAACAGATTCAAGCATGACAATATCTGAAGACTGTTCTGATTTACATTGTTTTCCAGTAACTTCATTTTGTTCTTCTAGTTGTACAGGAGCTGGTAGTATTATTCCTGGTTTACTCTCTGTATTGTGTGCCTTACTTGAAATCTTTAAATGCTCTGTTTTCTTCTCTGATCTTTCTACACCACCTATCCGTTTTCTTCTCAAAGATCTTTTATGACAAACACTTCCAGTAACTTTATTGTTATCTGTAACTTTAACAGTGTCTGTGAACAAATAAAGAAATATATGTATTAATTAAAGTTTCGTCATCTGTAATAACGAAACCAATATAAGTATTGTGGAAAATATTATTTATTTGAGCTTTACATATGATAATACAAAAAGGAAGGGAAGATACATCGAGTGAGACAGATTAATGGACGATAATAAACAATATATTAAACTATCAAAACAGAATAAACATAGATAAAAACTGTTAGGTGACACTGAGCGCATGGACAAACTATGCACCGAGTACAATTGACATCAGTAGAAAAATCAATAAAATATCTCCAAAGACATTTCCTTACACTACATAATATGATAATTCTTGCCGTGAAAAATTGTTTGTCAAAGTTTTTATATTACATTTAACGTTAGCTTGCTTACATAACAAAAAGACCTTGTCATTATCCTAAGAGACTAACTTGTTACAAGTCATTAAGACATAGTCCCCATTGGAATTGGGGGAAATGTTATTCATGTCAAAAATAAAGTCATGTGGACCAAAAGCATAGTTAGTAATTGAGAATGAATAATTGCGCTGGTCTTGTATCAACAGAAATTAGATGTACATGTATTACTCTTCTAAAATAGAAATATACCAGTATGGTCAGAAAGGAAACAGGATATGCTACATTGTATTCATGCATTTTTTGGATCCAAACTGAATTTCTATTGTCCAGGCTCATGTACGGAGATCTAGTAGCATGGTCAAAAAACAAGATTGCAGGCAGTAAACCATCTTTGACTGGATTGTGAAACTAATTGTCATGGACATATATCCTTCCATGTATAATTTGAAGAGAAAAAAACATGTCAACGATGCATTTTGCAAAAAAAAAGATGGCTGCCAGTTGGTCTTTTTGTATACAAACACGAACAACATGTTTAATGCCTGTATCAAATTTGAACAAAAACAGACAAATCCTGTCCAAGATACATTTTCCAAACAAGCAGCCTCTCGGCTGGGATAGCTTCGCTGTTAGCAATGCACATTTTAATTAAAGAACTGAAGATATTATCATGAAATGAACAAATTTAGAGTGGTCCACATGTAGTATCTATATATGTAATATCAAAGCAATTGGACTTGCGGTTTTCAACAAGAAGTCAAAAATATCACTTTTTACCAAAAATATTCATCGAAAATATATAATTGATATACATATACATGTATCATCACAGAATGAACAAATCTAAGAGAGGTCTGCCCAAGGTACATACACCAAGTATCCAAGCAATAAGAATTGTAGTTTTCAAGAAGAAGTCAAATCAAAGAAAGCTTAGAAAGAACTCCCGTGTGCTGAGAGTATTGGAGACACATTAATTCAAAATTACTTGAACTTGAGATATTGATGGAAATGCAGAAAACTAATTATGCAAATAAGGTAACTAATATGAACACATTCAAGTGTAAAACTAATAAGGTCTGCGCAATGTAAAAGTAATAAGATCTGTGTAATGTAATATCTATGTACCAAGTTTCATTGAAATGTGATTAGAACCCAAAAATTATTAATTATTGTGCTAATTAAGAGAATTAATATGAACAGATTTTAACCCAAAATTAATCAGGCTGTCTATTGTTCTAGAGCATTTATGTACCAAGTTTTATTCAAATGTGGTGATCAATACTTGAGATATCAGTATTAATTAATTATGTTAATTAGTGATTAGAAGCATAATATTTACCAAAACTAATATGGTGTACAGTCCTA